AAAATAATAACCAAGAAAACAGACACTCAAACAAGTACGTGTACACACATATATATAACAGTACTATTCCCAATAGCCAGAATACCAGAATACGGAAAACAGTCCAAATGTTGATTAGCAGATTAATAAACAAAATGGTGTCATGTGTACTATAATGGAATACTATTCAGCCATGTAAAGGAATAAAGTACAGAATCATGCTCCAATGTAGATGAACCTCCAAAGCATTATGTTAAGTGAAAGATGGCACACACAAAAGGTCACACACTGTAGATTTCATTTATATAAGTCATCTAGAATAGGCAAATCCACAGAGACAGAATTTGTGGTTGCCAGGGCCTCACAGCCTGAGGGAATGGGGAGAAACTGCTTAAATGGGTGTGGAGTTTTACTTTAGAATGATAAAAATATTTTGGGACTAGTTAGAGGTGGTGTCACACACTATTGTGAATGTACTAAATACCATGGAATAACACCATGTATTTTATGTTAATGAGAATTCCCCTTAATTATTTTTTTAAATAAACTCTAAGAGCATGATCCATTCAAGTTTTAGATGTAACCTAGGTTTACTTAACTCTTTAGACAACAACAGTGTTCATTATTAAAAAACATACTAAGATGTAATCGTTTTTTCACCATTGTAATGAGATCATTCACATAAGTATTTGTCTGTTATTAATAGAAAACACATGTGTTACTTGCTGTGTACAAGGCACTGCTCTTATTCCTTCACATATATTAATGATTATTTAAAACTCATTTAATCATAATAGCCCTATGAAGGAGTACTGTTTTATATCATACTCCTCAGATAAGGACAGGAAGACTGCAGGATAGTGTTACTCCAGCTGACAAGGGTGGAGCAGAATACAAACCCAGGATGCTTTGCTCCAGAGCGCCGTCTGTCATACGCTGTTGCTTACTACCTGTCTGCAGTATATAGTAAACTCCATAAGAGCAGGGCTTTGAATCTAGGCCAGGCCCAGAGGAAAGCTGATAGTTACATGGCATATGAATGAAAAACTGACCGAACAAAATGAATAGACTATATTTGCCAAAGACCTTTATGTTTTATAATGTTTGGCTCTCACTGATGTTTTAAAACGGTGAAATCTGATGTAAGTAAGGCACTGTGCTAGGCACTTCAGGCTATTACCACATATGAAAATGAATACAGATGAGTCTGGGACCAGTGAACTATTACAGAATTAGTCCTTATTTAAACCACATGAGTTAGGAGAAGCCATAAAGTGCAGAAGATCTTTAAGGCTCCCTTCTTTACCAGGCATTTCTCCCCAGTGATTCTAGGTTTTAATGCATAAAGTGCTTTATATGTATATTAAAATTGATGGCTTAATTTTTAAAGCAATATAAGATCCTTATTAAAGATATTAAACACAGAATGGTTCATTTTATGATGACTTTATGGCCAAAGAAAGGTGAACAGGGTTACAAAGTCACTCAGACATTCTAATACAGCCTCATACTGGGGGCAAAGACGTCAAAAAAACCCACCATCTGGAGGTGTAGCTCAGTGACACCATGCCTGCCTGGCAAGCGCAAGGTCCTGAGTTCGATACCCAGTACCGGGGGAAAAAAAAAAACCATCTGGTTGTGTTTGGCTGCCATGTGAGCAAATCTGTTAGCTCTCTCCTTAGCCTTCTCTTCCGTGTACCAATTTGCCATTCTGAATTGACCACTCCAGCCAGTATTACGTGCTTTTAGATTTATTAGCAAACTAGTTTAGGTTTGACTATGTCATTATCCAGACATTAATCAGGTAACCTGTATGTTTCCTTAAACAGATGCTTCCAGAAGATAGAACTTAACTGAAAGAACAGTTGACAGGCCCTGTTCCCTTAGAATCTGACTGCCAGCTTTATATGCTGTTTACCGTCTGGGGAAAAGTTAGGATTTCCAAATAAATGTGCAGGGAGTACTTTTCACTATCCAGCTGAGCAAAGAACAACCAAAGGAGGATAAAAGACTTGGCAGCTGCATTTAATTTAGTTGGGCTGTTATTAGGGCCTTTTGCCTGTGCATGTTTGCTCAGCGTCCCCTTCCAACCAGGTCCTGGACTAACTGCATCACTAGGGTTCTCCCATTGCCCTCTCCCTTCCTACCAACTCTGGTGCACTGTCTTTCCTTCAGTTCCCTAAAGGCACCAGATTCCTTCTGCCTTCATAAGCTCAAGTCCTACATTCCCTCTGTCTGGATGTGCACTCCCACATTTCACCAGTTTGTTTGCTACTCATACTTTTTGACTCCATTTAGATATTTCTTTATCAACTTTTTCTGATCGCAGTACTATTAAACTCCTCTCTGGTGCTCTTTCATCACCTTGAACTTTGCCTTCTCAGCAGTGAAAGTTTCAATAAAATAGTTATTGTGATTTGACTTGTTTTATAGTCTCTGCTAGGTATAAACTTCAGGAAGACAAAGACAGGGTCACTGTAGCTTATCACTAGATTCCCGGCCACCAGATGAGGGCCTACCACTTAATAGAAGGTCAGTAAATAAGCGTATAGTAGAAGGATCACAAGTTCAAAGCCAGACTGGGCAACTTAGCAGACCCTGTCTCAAAATAAAAAGGGTTGGAGATGTAGCTCAGTGGTAGAGCACTTGCCTAGCATGAGCAGGCCCTGGTTCAATCTCTAGTACTGAAAAAAGAAAACAAAATGTTCAGGAAAGAAGGCAGACCATGCTCTCTATGGACTCGAAATTCAGCACTGTTTAATTTTTATGTAGAATCTCTATGCTATTTTTCAGGATTAATCCTTACCTTTAAATTAAGCAATAAATGCTAGTAAAATAACCTCATAATTAGATACAAAGAAGGAGAGAAGTTAGTGGAAGGTGGCTGGTGGGGAAATGAGTTAACTTCCAGTTAGGGCTACAGAGCACTCAGCTGTCAGGTAATAAATAGTCATAAAGTTCTTGATAGTTTTGTTTCACAAAAATAAGACTAATGTAGTTTCCAAGTATTCTTCCGTGAAGTTCCAGAAAAAGTTTGAGAACCAGTAATTACTAAATGAGCTTGCTGACCTGTTATTTAGCTTTCCATCACTATAACAGAATGCCTGAGATGATCATCTTACAAGAGAAAAAGTTTATTTCCGCTCACAGTCCATAATCAGTCCTGTTGCCTTGGGCTGGTGGTGAGGCAGGAAACCATGGTGGAAGCATGTGATGGAGCAAAACTGCTCACTTTATGGCTAGGTAGCAACAGAAAGAGGAAGAGAGCTGGTCCCGTGACCCTGGCATGCTAGGATCTCACATTAGGCCCCACTTCTCAGTGGCACCACCCTGAGGGTCCAGCCTTCAGCACATGGGCCTCTGGAGATTTAACATCCAAGCTGCATCACAGCTGCCCTGTGTTTCTAAATAACCAACCACTAGTTTTCAGCTTCTTTCATTTCAAGATTTATTCTCCCCACGGTCTCCCTAAAAGAGTAACCCATTTAGTAGTGAGACACTCCACAGTGCAAAGGAGAGTAGCAGCATACAGAAAGGCAGGGTGGCACAAAGGCCATTGGAGTCTTTACTATGAGATCTGACTTGTGTTCACCGCATTCCTGTAAGATTCGGGTTGGAGTTTTGTCCTCATCTCTGCTTTGTTCTGTTTCCCATAAAGCATGGATTTATGTCATTGGAGATTTGCTGTCTTCCCTTGTTAGTTACTAACTCAGGTATTTGGTGTATTTGAAATGTCGTGGGGCATCATATCCTGTACTGTTTACACATACCCATAGCAAAGTTTCCATGATTTCTCTGACAAGATTCAGAATACAATATTTTATTTTAGTTTCTTATTGACCTCCAGAGTTCTCTTCTTTTAATATAATATCCTATTCCATAAAACAAGTGCTGGAAATTTAAAATGTTTATTTTTTAGAAATTATAAATACTTGCCAGGCATGGTGGTACAAGCCTATAATCCCAGCACTCAGGAGGCTGAAGCAGGAGAATTGCTGCAAGTGTGAGGCCAACCTGGGCTACATAGTGAGTTCAAGGCCAGCCTGCACTATATAGCAAGAACTTGTCTCAAATAAAAATTATAAACACCTGTTTACAAAGGTCTTTGAGTTTCTAAATTTAACTTTACTTTAGATTTAAAAATTGAAATTACCAAATAAAATGGAGTGGACATTTCTAAGGCTTTTGATACTATTGTGTAGTAAAATTGCTTCCTAGGACATTAATGCTGATTTCTATTTCTACTTGCTGCAAATGACAAGGGATAATAAATCTACAATAAAAGAGGCTGTACAAATAGGATAAAACACACTAATAATCAAATGGGTTAAGGACACAAATAGAAAATTTGCTAAAAAGAAAATTAAATTATTCTCACAATTATACACGAATAAAACTGAAACAACATACTATTTTAACTTTAATAAACTATTTTTCCTTGAAAGTACTCAAAGGCAAGATGTTAACATTAAGTAAAGTTGGATAAAGGTCATATATGAAACTACTTTTTAAAACTTTTTATTAACTCTGAAGTTATTTCAAAATAGAAAGCTAAAAACTAAATTTTACCTATTCAGTGGCCATGGCCTCTTAGATTATTCAATAATGTCACTGTTTATGGATATGGTATATCCTAGAAATCTTAATTGGCGTACACCTAACTAGTTCTCTCAAGTCACACCTCTAATATTGAAAGTAAATATAAAATATTTTCTCTGGATGTTCTCATTTATTTTAGTTCTTTGAACTCACTGCCTATGTTTTACATTTTGTCCCATTTAATCCTATCTATACTGTATCTAGAGCCATTAGAAGTAACCAATAAAATTACCATGCTCACTTTATAGACATAAAAATCAAGGCTTAAAGGTTGGGTAACCTATCCAAAGTCATACTCTGAAATGTTTCACTTTAATTGGTTTCATTCATAGGGTATGTCCATTTGGCAAAAAATAGGCTACAGTTTGGAAGTGACCATTTGTCTTTACTTCCAGCTGTATATTGTGTTCCCTTTTCAACAGATGAACCCACAGACATTATCCCACGAAGCTGCCAACTAACAACAGATGTTCCACATGTCACACAGCTGCTGAACATGACTAAACTTCGCCAAACTGAAATAAAATTTGGAGGACATCCACTAAGATCAGCAGAGTCGGGTAAGCATTGAGGCATCTAAATTATAAGCATAATATGTCTACACCCCCCAGTAAGTTATGACTTCCTCCAAAGAAGGAACTATACTTTTTTATCCTTGGCACTTAGCATAGTACTTACCATATACCAGGCCAGAGGGTACAAATTCAAATCACTACTGAGGTCAAGAAGATAACATAAATGAATAATTTAGGCTGCTGCCTGGATATTTGACATATAGAAACATTTTCTACTTCAGCAATCAATTTGACTCGGATATGAGGGGGCAGGGATACAGGGGAAATATGAGGTGGTACTTCAGAGAAATGGATCTTCTACTGAAGCAGTCTTCACACTTTGCAAATGATACGTTAGATGGCAGTTAACACTATGCCCCCATGAGGAGCTGTAGGGAGTAGTAGGGACCGCAGCCAACTGAAGGCTGATTCGTAGCATAGAAGAGGTAGCTGCAGTGTTGCCAGTGTTGCCGTGCAATCCTCCCAGAGGAACTGGGCATCAGAAGGTTTATAAGTTCTATAATTTTAAAATACTGTGTTAAAGTTTTCATAAACATTCTGCGGACCAAACAAAACATGCCAGGGCTACCGGTAATTCGCCCTCTGTAACAGCATGACTGTTATCCAAATGAGTGACTAGCACTTACAAATCAAGAAATCTGAAGTACCGAAGCTTCTTGTATATTGGAACCACCTGGAACATTTTTAAAGTGCTTAATTTTTTTTCCTAGCTGGGCATGGTGAAGCACACCTATAATCCCAGCACTTGGGAGGCTAAGGCAGGAGGGTTGGGGGTTCAAGGGCCGACTACATAGAGACCCTGTCTCAAGAAAATTATTTTTCTGATATCTATGCTCTGCTTCCAGAGATTCTGATAAAAGAGCATAACATTGGGTTACAACAACCCATCCCATACTTTTCTACTAAAAATGTGTGCTTTAGCATAATAGTAGCCGGCTGTGTGTCTCAGTAACTGTGCCTGGGGGATACAGGAAGCAACCTTAGTGTTTACGCACTTGGTACAATGAACAGCAAGGTGTGTGCACATGTGCAAAAGTGTCAAACTAAGATTTTTAACCACATAATCCTCCATCTGACAAGTCCTGTGTATGCTTACCTGAGCACCACAGGGGGTAAAATACACCCACACCACTCTTCTGTTATGAAAATATGTATTTTATCATAATGGAATGTGGGTGTGAGTCATAGTAGCTGCACCTGGAGAAAGTAAAAAGCCATCTGTGCATTCACCCACTTGGCAGACAAACAGCAAGGTGTGTACTGGAGCTCCAAAGCAGTGACAGGTGAGTTTTATCCATGAAATGCTAAATTTCTGTGCATTTAAGATTTATTTTGGAAAAAGCTATCTTTTTATTTTTGTGGTAGAAGTAGCCCGATTGAGTACAATGGCACAGGAAAAACCAGATTTGCAAATTTTGGAAGTCAAAAGTCAGTCATCAGACTCATACATGGATGATGAAGATGAAAATGACTTTGACATTGGCTGTGTGAGCCAAAGTCCCTGTGACAGTGAAATGGAACAACACAAAGTGACATTATAGTTGCTGCAACAACATCTGCTATATCAATCAACTGATATAGACACAGGAAATGTAGATCTCCTTGATTCAGAAGACAAAACAGCAATGTGAGTGCATTTTTGACTAATTGAAATGTTGCAGAATGGTCATGCAACCAAATGGAACAATCCAGTGTTAAAACTGGGCCCAAAAATAGAGTGAAGATCTGCCAGGGGTGAAACCTATTGGGCAGAATGCCAGCACTGCCATTCAGTGTTGGAAATTGTAACAGACAAAATGCTACAAGATGTTGTCCAATACACAAAGTCTGAAATACAGGTAAAATGTTCTGTATGCACCAGTAATCATATGGAAAATTGTATTTATTATGACACCTCCCTTGCTGAACTGAAAGCGTTCATAAGTCTGCTGTACTTACCAGGGATTTCTCATAGTAATCACAGGAATGTAAAAGACTTATGGAAAAGTGATGAGTCAAAATACAGCATTTATACCCTTGTGGATGCAAAGACATTATGCTTTCAATTTAGAAATTTATCCTGGAACTCAGCCACCAGGTTCTTATTCATAGAATAATAAAGCAAATGATGTTGTGAACAGACTTGTTGGCTCCCATCTCCCACACTAGTCAGAATTCAACAATTGGTTTATCGGTTTCCAGTTGATGTTATATTTGCTAACAGAGCACAAGTTGACCAGTGTAGGAATTGTACACAGGAACAAAGCAGAAATTTCAAATGAAATGTTGCAATTTCAAAACAGAATTATATAGTACAGTCTTTGGATTTCAGAAAGATTTACATTGGCCTTGTATATGGCAAAGAAAAACAAACTGGTATTGTTGGTGTCAGTATTGCACCACAATGGAAATATTGAGAGGGAAATTTCAACAAATCGGATGCCTGAGATGGAAACTTTCAGTTATGCAGCAGATATAATGTCACTTGAAACACACGGTGTTGGCCAGTGGTTGTGTTTTACTAGATCCTAAACATGTGTGGCATAAATAGCTTGATCATTTACAAAGAAAATAACAACTGCAAAATACCATGGAGAAATTTTCTTAGAGGGTTGGGATTGGAACTCATAAGAGATCATTTATGGCAGAGGAAAAACAAAATGTTTCTGCCCAGGGAATTATGCAAAAAAATTGTGGAGCACACTGGTGAGCTAATAGGTGAACAGGCAGGTGCAGCATCCCAAAGACCTTCTACGAGAATAGGAAAACCAAAAAGATGTCAACTATGCCCTACAAGAAGGGACAGGAAAACAAGACATATGTGCTATCAATATAAGCAATACTTGTGACTAGATCGTGCAGTTGTCACGTGTGAAGACTGCCTTGGGAGTGACAGTTGAAGCAAAGGTTATTTCTGTGGTAGACTTTTGTTTGTGTTTACATTGTAGTTCACATGGGTTTGTATTTCTAATATTAACTTTTAAGTTTTGTAAGCAATTACACAGCTGATGTGAAAATGTTGATGTCTATTCAAAGCACCCATTACATATTTGATATTTTATTGCTCTCTCGTTTTCCTGCTAAGTTCACGTTGTACAATACAGTAGGAAGCTCCTGACAAAACAGGAAGAGAAGAGAGGTGACAAGAATGGCCTGCCATGTAGGAAAAGAAAGCTAAGCACATGTGCTGTCAGTGTGAGCAATATGTGTGTATGAAACATGTTGTTTTCATGTGTAAAGATTGCCTTAGGTGTGATAATTGAAGTAAAGATTTTTTTTTTGTAGACTGCTATTGGTATTGTCATTGTAGTTCATATAGGAATTTATTTTTTTTTTACTTTGTAAACCAAAAAACAGTTGTTGTTGAAAATTTTGATGCTTTTTTATGAACACTCAATAAATATTAAAAATTCAAGACTTTCTCAGTATTTTTTCCTGTTAAGTACCCATTGTTTAATATAATGAAATTAAAATTAATAATTCATCAATATAAATATTCTAAACAATAAACATGGGTATTATACACCAAGTTTCTGCACCTTTGTGACAAAATTTAGATTATGCCCCTCTGTGGCCTTGGATGAGTTTGTCTTGTTTTGTTATGTTCTTTGGTTTTTTAACTCCTCTAGTGATTCTTATGTGTAGCCAGGGTTGAAAACCACTGGATAAATCAGTCCCACAAAGGCCATGTGATTCAGATGACACTCACAAACACTGAAACAATTTAGAGCAAGATAAAATGATTATTGTGATAACAGACAGGAAAGAAGAAAGAGATCTTGAAAGTACATACTGAGAATTATGTAAGTATTAGATGGAGCAGAAAACGGAAGACAAGGAGACAGTGAAATGCATGGATAAGTTGCCATGGAATTACTAAGATCAGGGCACGTGTGGACAGAAAAGCTGTGTTTAGATTATGATTGGAAGCCAGGCATGGTGGTGCGTGCCTGTAATCTCAGGATTCTGGGTGCTGTGGCAGGAGGACCGCAAATTCAAACCTGGCCTGGCCAATTTAGCAAATTAAACTGTCTCAAATTTAAAAGGCCTGGGGCCCTGGGATGTAGCTCAGAGTGAAGGACCGGGATTCAGTCCTCAGTAAGAGGCGTGGGGGCTACAATTAGAGTATACCTTACGTCCCTAAAATAAAGGAATCATAGCTTCTTTTTTACGAAGTTAAATTTGACAACAGACTTGAAGGCGAACTTTGAACTCAAGTGAGACCAGCGATTGTGGAGTACAACTGAGTATCTTTCAGCAGTCTGTCTGTCCCAGACCAGCAGTGGCTGTGAAAGACGAGAGCACCAGCCCTGGAGAATCTGCAGGGATAAAGCTGGCAGGACCTGTGGAGCCTCAGAAGACTGATAGGGATGAGAGTGATTAGGGTTTGAGGGAGGTCTTACCAAGATCAGGAGGAGGGAGATAACCTTCGTGACAGTTGCAAGAATGATCTCATTTTACTCTCTGTGTTTATCCCATGCTCATTTACCCTTAGGATATTTTCCACCTTCATTGACATCCATCTTCATCAGCATTACATGTTCTAGGTCAATGATGGTGTACTTTTTAGAGATGAGTGCCCAAACTGCCACCCCAGATCCACTCATTTATCACACGGTGCCAACACTGCAAATAAACCTGAATAGTGAGGTTTCACTTTGGCAAAAACAACTCCTACACTAACATCTTTTGTCTTAAAGGAAAAATAGCACATATGATGCCTTGGGTTCGCCACCACTGCTCTAGGTTGTATGTTCCTAGAGAATTGAACCTATTTTGTAACTTCTTCAGTATAAACCCTGGTAGAAGACTGTGTATAAGTAAAGTACATTTTATCTCTTTATTGTGACTTTTCCAAGCTTACAGAAAAGTAGAGAGAATATATAAATGAACAACATTATATGCCCATCACCTACTTCACAAAATTTGTGATAGCAAAAAGGGAAAATAATGAGAATTTATGTATTATTATGTATATTATATATAGGCACAGAGAGAAAAGGAAAGGTTATATATAATCCATGGTCGTTAAAGAGCCTGTAGAAGATAGATGAAAGATGAAAATCATCTCACTATCCATATATCCACTGTAGACACTTTGGGTCACAATTCAGTCGTAAGGAAGATTTGCCACAGGATGAAATTAGTAAGAATATTTTCAGGCTAGGGATTTAGCTCAGTGGTTCCACTACCTGCCTCACAAGCCAGAGGACCCAAGTTTGATCCCCAGTACCAAAAAATATATATATATATTTTCAATAACAAATACTGTATCTGTAGTTCATATGCTGTGATGGCTTTCAATAACAAATGACTGAGCTATAAGGTATATCAGATAACTGTCATTGTAAATGCTCTTTTTTTCTCTTACCCCAGAGCTTAATGTTTTAAGAACTAATTATGTTTTTTTTATTAAATTCTTTTATTGGTACATTGTAGGTATACAACACAATTACATTTCTCATTGGGAATTGTACCTCTACATAATGCATCTTGGTTCTTATTTTTTCCCCATTCCTAGCCCTCCCTTCACCCCCTCCACCCTTCCCTATTT